TTTTTTTTTTTTTTTTTTTTTTTTTTTTTTTTTTTTTTTTTTTTTTTTTTTTTTTTTTTTCTTTTTTTTTTTTTTTTTTTTTTTTTTTTTGTTGTATGGATTCAAGGTAGTGCTATATGTTTGCAGACTGCAAAATAAAAGAATGAATACAGATAAATATAATATGTATATATATAATATAAATAAATATATTTATTTATTTGTTTATTTTATTTTTATTTTATTTATTTATTTATTTATTTCTTTTTTCTTTTTTTTTGTTTTGTTTGTGTATAGGATGGTAAGATGAGAGGAATAGCGTTTGCTCTTGATCCTGATGGATACAGTGTAGAGATTATTCAGAGGGGAGTTACATTTTAATTTTATTTATTTATTTATTTATTTATTTATATTATTTATATTTATTTTATTGTATATATTATATAATTATACATATATAATTATATAATATATACATAAATACAACAACATTATAAGAACCTACTTACTCCCTTATTAAGTAGGTATCTTATTATATTATTTAATTTTTCTTTTTTCTTTCAATAAAAAAAACAAGAAAGAAGAAATATATTTATTATTTATGTATAATTATTATTAATAATTGTTATATTTAGCAAATAATTAAATAGGGATGGTTTAGTTTTCTTATATATAAAGAGTATTTATTTTCTTTCCTTTTATGTTGATGAACCTAAATAAAAAACAATTTAGTTAAATAAGAATAAATAAATAAATAAATTAATAAATTAATTAAATTAATTAATTAATTAATTAAATTACTCACCAAGCAAGTGATAGCCAACAGCTAGACCACCGTAATACCCTCGGTGTGCTGCAAAAATACAAAGAAAAGGAATTAATAAAGTCTATATCTTGTTTTTTATTAGCTTAGGGTTTAGGGTTTAGGGTTTAGGGTTTGTGTGTTATACCTTCGCGTTCTTTCTCCTTGGGTGTAAGTTTTCTCTGATGTTATCACCAATAAAAAAAGTAAATTATGATTTATTTATTTATTTATTTATTTATCTATTTATTTTGTTTATTTATTTTATTTATTTATTTATATTTACTGCTTCTTCCTCCTCATTAATAAGAATATTTTTATCAATTGTTGTTATTGTTGGTGTTTTTTTTATTTCTTCTTTTTTTATAATTGTAGGAAATATAATTCTTCCTCTCCTTTTTCTTGGCATTATTTCTCCCGTCTCTTTATTTATATAAATATATATATTTATATTTATTTATATTTATTTACATTTATTTATATTTATTTATTTATTTATATTTATACATTTATTTATTTTTTTCTTTTTTTCTTACCGTGTTTTACTGGCCCTTGTTTACCAACTTCCCTAAACATCATTGACATTAACACCAATATAAATATTAATAAATAAATATAAATAAATAGTATT